GAGTAATCCAAGTCCCTGCTGGAGTCAGTCAGAGCATTTCCATAGAGAGCAACTTTGCATCAGCAGCACCATGCTCCAGTGCTCTGGGAGAGTTATAGTATATATATATATATATTATCTATATATATATATATATATATATATATATATATATATATATATATATAGATAGTACTATCTATGGCATCATTGATTTTTTCTATGAGATCAAGAATCGCCATAAATGGTGCTCTTTTTCCTAAATCCATCCTGTGATGAAACAAGAATATTACATTTTTTAAAGTAATTACTAAGTCTAGTATATACAATTCATTCCAATACCTTATAATTGGTGGACAATATAGGTACGGGTCAATAATTGTGCATACTATTTTTATCACCTGACTTAATAACTGGTACAATTCTAGCAATCTTTGTCATTTTGGGTACAGTCCCACAAAGTAAAGAAAGATTAATAGAGTAGACGAGAGGCTCCGCAATTTAATTTACAATAGATTTAAGAATTATGCTACAGATTTCATCCGTCCCAGCTGTGTGGGAACTTTCCATGTTCAAAATGATTTTAGAGAGTTGATTTTTGTTAGTGTATGTTAAAAAGAATGAATTCATATAATTGCCTTGCAGTGAAAGTAGCACCCTTTGGTTGTTCCAGTTTTGTTGGAGAGGTCTTTACCTATAGAGATAAAGTGACTGTTAAAGCTATTAGTGAGATCTAGTCAAGATCACTACTAGCATTTCTGATATTGTATTTTGTTTTGATGTCGGGAAGTACAGTGGTTTTGTATCCACTAAGGACTTCATTGAGCACCTTCCAGGATCGTTTTGATCACCTTCAGCAGCCTTTATAAGCTCGGTGTAGTGCCTTTGCTTACCTATCTGTACATGTGTAAGCTTATTTCTATTTCGTATGATTCCTTATGTGCATCACTTCTTTGTTTTGATGGATTTTAAAATATCCCTGGTATGCCACACTTTCCGATCTACAGCACCACTTTTTATGTTCTTTCGGGTATTGTACGATCAATGGAGTCAGTTAGCTCATCAATTAAAACATTATATGCAATGTCTGGGTCTTTGCAGTTATATACTGAATCCCAATTTTGGCTTTAAGATTTCTGAAAAGCTTTTGTTTTAAAATGTGGAAAATCAGTCTTTTAGCAAAATCAATGAAAAGTACAATGGGAAAATGATCTATAGTATTACACCTGAATCCATACTAGCATTGTCAATATCTGAAATGATGATGTCAGATTGATCTGATGGATTCCATTACCCTAGTATATGAATTTATGGTGGGGAAAAAGACGAAGAATAAAGAGTATTAATAAAATAATTTTTTGCCTTCTCCTCTTTTGAGATTTCAATATTGACGTCCACAAGAATAAAACATTTTCTTATTTGTATTTATCAGATATAAAAGTTAATCTAATTTGGTTTTGAAAATGTCATGGTCAGAGTCTGGAGGTCAATAAATAACTCCAACAATGACATTTTTACATTTGTCTCAATAAATTGACAATCCGAGTGACCATCTTCAATACTGAGGCAATCACAAATACTTACGGAGTGTCCTGAATCTACATATAGACATACTCCACGACCTGGTCTAACTAATCCGTTTTTGTTATACAGCTTATAACCATCGAGATTAAGAATATCCAGGTATGATGTGTCATTAAGCCAGGTTTCACTACAGCCAATCACGTCAAAACTACTGCCTATACTAGCCAAAAGAAAGAAACAACATGATGCCCACACAACTTCTAGTGTTAAGGTGTAAAAACGAATAGGTATTGTCTTCGACTGTTCGGGGTCAGCCCTAATAATTAGTTACATTATTTTGTTGGTCGATTGCGTGTTCTGAAGTGAGCTCGTCCTGCATAGCCAAAGTGAATCTTCTCAAAAAAATATGATAAATAGAAACTTTAATGAAAATCTTAATCCTTGACAGCACATCAACTGAATGCAAATGAAACATTAAGAAACAGACAGAAGAGGGAACAATGAATATCAACCTCTGAAACGTGAGTGACTCTGAAGAAATAAATGTGATGTGAAGAACAATGCAAACAGTAAAGCTTCAGTTACAAATCAGTATCAACGTGTCTCCACTACACAGCAGGAAACTGACAGTTCGGTGTAACCTGTAATCTGTTCTGGCAGTGATGTGTAATGGATGCAACATTAAATGGCTGAAATGGCAAACTCCATTCGAAAAAAACAGAAAAAGTAATATAGTAACTTCTGCAGCTAACTTCTAAGCTCATGTCCCTGCTGGAGTCAGTCAGAGCATTTCCATAGAGAGCCACTTTGCATCAGCAGCACCATGCTCCAGTGCTCTGGGAGAGTTTATAGTCCTGAGAGTTGAACACTGGATGACTGACAGCTGTCTTCATGACAACAGAAGCCACAGAAATCCTCCTCATCAAAACATGACTTTGATCTGCGTCCTCATCTGGACTCTCTTGCTGCTGCTCACAGGTAAGTCCAGAGAATCAAACTCC